GATCCTGAGTCCCAGAGTAAAGTGGACACACAGCACAGTTAGCACTGGCCCGCCATGAGCATGTCACGTGCATGAGAAACAACCCACTGTTGAGGGAGGCCACTGAGATGTTGGGGTCACCTGTTACTGCAGCGTGGCTGTCTAAGCTGACCTCACAGTGGTAGAATTTGGCTGAATCCCAGATCTTCTGAAAGTGCCCTTTCTATCACATCCATCCCCTACATTCCAGGTAAATGACCCCATTTGTTCATACCTATGTGTCTTTTATCATCCTGCTTTCTCTGTCTAGAATTCTGTTGATATCCTACCCATCTTCCAAAGTCAAACCTGGAATTTTCCTCTTCTGTGATGCTTACCCAGATCCAAAATACAGGCACTTAGTTAGTGAGCATTTACTATGTGCCAGCTACTACTCTAGCACTTTATTTGTTTCAATAAATAAATCAATCCTCACCTCACCCTTTGAGGTAAGCCCTATTACTGTTGCCATATAAGGAGAAGCAAGGTAAAATAACTTGTTCAAGATCACATAATCGATAATTGGCAGAGCCAAGACTCAAACCTCATACTCCTTCCACCCCACTACCTACTTCTCTTTCTGTTTCCTGTTACATTTCTGCACATCCTCTCTCCTCAACTGTAAATCACTTTTTTTATCTGACTGATCACAATTTCTTGATATGGGTTTGAGTATAAATCCTATCAATTATTGGCGGTATGACCTTGGGCTGGTCCCTCAATTTCTCTGAGCCTCATTTCCTCTTTGCGTCCCCCCTCACACACAGCTCCTAGTAAGGTGCCAGTAAATACCGACTGACTGACCAATGAAATGGATGGACTCTGAGCCTTGGTTTGCACATTTGTAAAATGGGAGTAATAAATGGTACCTCCTTCCTAGGGTTGTTGTAGAGTTTAAATGATGCCTCTCATAAGGCACAGCACATGGTGAGAGTCCAATACAACTTAAATATTGCTACTATTATAAGCTGTAGGAAAGGTAGATATACTGTATAATATACAGAGAGAAGAAACTTACTTCTCACTACAGGGATTGGGGAAAGCTATCTTCATGGCAGAAGAATGCATAAGATCTAGACACAGAGATGAGGTGAAGGGAAGGACATTCTAAGTAAAGGGAACAGCATAGGTAAAGACACAGAGACAGTTTAAGTTAAAATCTTAAACTTCTTCCTCTAAATTATACCATCATCAGGGTCATACCTGAGGAAATAACCCTAAACATAAAAAAAAAAGTTATGCATAAAAATGTCCACTGCAGCATTATTTATAAAAGTGAGACCATGGAAATAACAGATATGTCCAGCAACAGGGAACTAGTTACCCCTGGCTGGTGTGTCTCAGCGGATTGAGTCCAGCCTGTGAATCAAAGGGTCACCAGTTGGATTCCCAGTCAGGGTTGCAGGCCAGGTCCCCAGTAGGGGGTATGCGAGTGGCAACCACACGTTGATGTTTCTCTCCCTCTCTTTCTCTCTCCCTTCTGCTCTCTCTAAAAAATAAATAAATAAATAAAATATTGTTTAAAAATAAGTAAGTAGTTAAGTAAATGATCTTATATTCATCTGACACACTATTATATTTTATATTTAATATATAATAATATGATACCATCAAGTATTATAATTAAATACATGAGAAGTATGTAATAAGGGGGAAATTTATGAATTATGCTATGTGAAAAAAGACAAAATAAATATTCAGTATGGTTACAACTCTGGAAAAGTGAATTTTGAAACCAAAAATAATATACAGAAACCTAAGAAATATACTAAAATAGCAATAAGAATAGCTTTGGAGTAATAGGCCTTGGTGATTACTTGGGGAAATTTAAAAGTTTTCTTCCTTATATGAGTGTTTGGAAATGCCCCATCTGGTTTCATGGACTGTATGTATCCTTGTCGACAAATGAGAGGGCCCCAAGGCTGGAAAGAATCAGGAGGCCTTGGGAAAACTGGCCACAGAGGAGAAGACACCTGTCCCCCTGGCAGGAGCGCAGCCCCTGCCTCCCTCACATCATCCTGCTTGGCCCTGTGATGGTCGGTTGTTGATGACGGGTAAGTTCTCTTGTGCGGAGAGACGACCTAAGACAGGCACAGCCGGTATGGGCAGCAGGCAAGGACTTGGGGGACACAGAGAAAGGGCAAAAAAGCCCGCACCCCTCGGCTCGACTTGGACGTGACCAGAGTCCTCATTCTATCTGAAAGAAGTCTCCTTATCTCTTGGTGGCTCTGCCCCACCCACCGGGAAACAATACTAAAGGCAGGTACAGCCTTAAACTGGATCTGGTGGTTCCCGGGGACAATCAGGCCTAGAAGTAAGTTCTTCTAAGCATGCTTTGTTCTTCCCTCAAAAGCTATGATAACCGGCTCATACTGGGAAGGAGATTTACATTATTCATAGACCCTGACCTGAGGCAGATCTCCTGTGTTCCTTCAATTGTTATCTATGATCCGTTTTCTGTAAACATAGGCTTTTGACATTGATTGATGAGCTTTACTGTATACCCCTGAGCATGTGGTTCTCAATAAAAGCCTTTGGACACGGGGGCTCAGTGTCTTCTCTGCTAGAGGGAAGAGCCATGTCCCCTCTCCTGGCAAACAGAGGAGTGTTTGCAGCGACTCGTGTTTACTCCCCGCATCCGTGACAACCCCGGGGACCGGCTCTGCGGGATTGAGAGCCCCGCTCCCTCCTCAGCTGGCTCCAGACAGTGACCCTCAGATCCAGGAGCACCCCACATGGTGCTCCCTGCGACACATGAATAACTATTTTATTATTAGAGTTAAACATGTATTGCGTACTTACTATATATTAGGCACTACACTGATATTTTACATGTATTATCTCACTTAATCCACACAACACTATGAGGAAAGTCCTTTCATTAACCTATTACAAATAGGGAAACTAAGACATATACAATGAACATATATTACTTCTAAAATAAGGAAACCATATATTTATTACATTTATTTACTATTTTATTATAAAAAGTTAATACATATGTCTTTGTGTACTGTAAATTATATTTCTTTTTTGTAAATTATATTTCTTAAAGTATTTGGGGTCAAAGTGTATGTGTACTTGTTTTATTCTGAACTAATTTTAGACTTATAGAAAGATGCAAAAATAGAATGAAATACTGATACGTGCTACAACTTGCATGAACCTCCAAAACATCAGGGTAAATGAAAAAAAGCCAGTCACAAAAGACCAAATATTATGATTCCATTTATATGAAATGTCCAGCATAGATAAATCCTTAGAGACAGAAAGCAGACTGGTGGTTGCCTAAGGCTAGGGGAAGGTGGGGGATGGAGAGAGATTACTTAATGGCTTCAGGGTTTCCTTTTGAGGTGGTAAAAATGCTTTGATATTACATAGTGGTGATGGTTACACAACTCTGTGAATATAATAAAACCACGAAATTGTATATTTTAAGTGGGTTAATTTTACGGAGTGTGAATTATATCTCAATAAAGATGTTATTTAAAAAATAAAACAGTATAGAGAAAACAAAATAAAACACTATATACCTTTCACTTAGGTTCCCCTAATATTCACAACTAGGAAATGATTGGATAAATTGTGGTACAACTATACTATGGAATATTAAAAATGCAGAGTAGTGTATATATAATATGATTGTTTTTTTCTAAAAATTGTTTAAGAGAAACAAAAACCTTTTATATGTGTGTATATGTTTCCTTATGTTTACATTAGTGTGCATAAAGTAGTAGAAGTATGCAAATAAACATAATACTGGTTACTTCGTGGCAGAATTAAGAGGACAAAGGGAGATCATGCAATTTGTTTTTATAACCTATTTAACTTACCTCAAAAGGGCATGCAGTTTTGTAACTTTCTCAACTTAAAAATAGTAAGAGAAAATAGTAATCGACAAGAAGCCTGTCCCTGGATTTCCCATGACTAGACAGTTATCCCTAAATTTGAAGCAGCATGACATGTATGTTAAAATCACGGTTGCAGAGGCCCTGCATCGCCTTCTCCTCGGAGACATGGGACATGGGCTGGAATCCTGAGGAACAGGGGGCAAATTTAAGATGAAAACTTCTGGGTTGGGCAAAACTGCATTTGAATCCCAGTTCTCTGCCACCTACTGGGCTGTGGACCTTGGAACAGTTAATTTACTTCTCTGTGCCTCAATTTCCTTATCTTTAAAATGGGAATAAGTAGATAACATCTTTCACTGGGCTTTAGTAAAAATAAAATAAGATTGCGTATGCAAGATGCTTAGCACAGTGCCTGGCATAAAGTGTTCAATAAATCATAGGCATCATTATTAATATTATTTACAGTAGGAGCTTCCCAGTTGTTTGAGGAGCTAGGAATGGCGGCTATAAAAATCTAGAGAAGGGGGCAGGGACCTGAACTTTGCTAGGCCTACATTCTGCTTCTCCACACATAAGTTGATGTGCTCCTGTGCCACCAACCTGAGAAGTGACTTTATTCTTGCTGGTATTGTAGCCAGATAAAATAAAAGACTACACTCCCCAGCCTCCCTTGCAGCTAGGGGCAGGGGTTTTCTTGGGTGGGACTTCTGTTTGGAAAGATGCTCTTTTGCTCTCACTTCCCGTCTACCTTCCTGCAGTCTGGATCCTACAGATGATGGTTGGAACCCTATCATCCATCTCAGCCTATGCAGAAACCTTGATGAAGAAAGGCACATGCTCAGGATGAGGGAGCAGAGGCACAGGAGCCTGAGTTCTGGTTGATCCTGGAGACCCTTGCCACTCCCCCTTGCGTCCCTCTGTACTTCTTTCATGTGAGAGCAAAACAACCTCTATCTGGCTTAAACTCCTTTTCTGAGCTTTCTGCAACATGAAGATAAATCCAGCTCTAACTAATAGAGTTCTCACAGAACAACTAACCTGAAAAGCAAAATCTCATGGTCAGGAGGTGGCAGGAGGTGTGACCTGAGGAGGGGCTGGCTGCCTTCTGCTGGGTTTGGCCTGGACACTTACTCATCCCCGATGTAGAGCTTGGGCCAGACCTCGTTGACGTGGGTGTACTGGGGACTGCCCTTCCAAAAGAGACGCTCCAGCTCGAAGGCTCCGGGGGTACAGTAGTCCTCCGCCTCCTCCTCCTCCGCCTTTGGCAGCAGTCTCTTGGCAGATGAGTAGGCGTTCTTGAGGCTTGTCTTTGGTTCTCCGGATGTCATTTTGGAGCCAATGGATTTTCTCCTTTCTGCAGCTGGTCATGAGAGAAGGTCAGGATTGGGGTTAGCGGGGGACAGAGGTAGGAAATGGGCTTTATGAGAAGAGGTGGGAATAAGCTGACCTCAAAGTTTGGCAGGCATTTCCCAGGCCTGCAGTGGTTCTGCTCCCTCTTCCCAGGCCACAGAGGGAAACAAGGCAGGCTCTGGTGCAGTTAAACTGCGCGTCCCCAGCACCCCAGTCTCTCCGGAGCAAGAGTGCTGGGGCCCTCTGACCCACCCAGGCAGAGGTGAATTTGCAGCAGACCCCTGACAGAAACCCCTCAGGCAGCCAGCCCCTTGCCTCCTTTTTTTTACTTGCAGACTTTACTGCAGGGGTGGCCAGCCTGCTGCCTGCGGGCTGCGTGCAGCCCGGGATGGCTATGAATGCGGCTCCACGCAAAACTGAAAATTTGCTTAAAACATTACTTAGTTTTATTACTTAGATATGTACTTTTTTCTGTCTTGGTGATCACAAACTTGGGACCTGGTTGACAATTTTAAAAGACTATCAAAAGGGCTGCTGCGTAATTAGTGTTTTTATATGAGGACTTTTTTGCTCATCTGTGGAGGCAGATATCATAAAAATTATTCACAGACCTTTTTTCTGTTAATGTTTGTGTATTTAATATGTGGCCCAAGACAACTCTCCTTTCAGTGTGGCCCACGACACCAAATGATGGGACACCCCTGCTTAACCCTTTCTTTGGTGCTAACTTTTCCCTTTATCTTGCTGGAATCTGCCGACTTAGGACATTTTGAACTCAAATAGGAAGGCCCAGAAGGTCCCTGACCTTCCAGGCTGTGATACTCAACATCAGCAGGGAGCTGGTGCCCATGGAAAGGGCACACCTGTCGATCCAGGGCCTGTCTAGTCTGGGCAACCATGCACATGCTTGGGGCGTCAGGAGCCTTGGGGTGGAAGGACACTTGGCTTGTGTGAGTGTTCATTGATTTGTTGGGACAGCTGAAGTCAATGTTTGCAGCTCTCATGCTAGGACACTGGCAGGCGTGTGAACTTACCAGAGCGTCGGAAGAAATGTTCCTAACTGGAAAGCTGTGCGTGCAGATTCCAGCGTGTATTTAGAGAGCTTGTGCGGCTCTGAAAGTGGAATGGAGGAGGAGAGGTCCCAAGGAACCCAAGGAACCCAAGGAACCCAAGGAACCCAAGGAAATGCATTCGCTGTGGAACTGGGCTGCATTTGTTCCCTGAGCTGAGTGACTGGTGCATCTACATTCAGATGGCCTGGGAGGGGAAGTTATACTCAGGCTCTGAGCAAAGGCTGGAGAGACTGAGAGACATGGAGGCGTGTGACAGGGAAGGATGCCATTTATTTACTTTTATTATTGTTATTTTTAATCCTCATTCGAGGATATATTTTTATTGATTTTTAGAAAGAGAAAGGAAGGGGGAAAGAGAGAAACATCGATCGGTTGCCTCCTGTACACATCCTGACCAGGGATTGAACCTGCAGCCTAGGTATGTGCCCGACCAGGCATCGAACCCACAACCGTTTGGTGTATGGGATGATGCTCCAACTACTGAACCCCCCCGCCGGGGCAGGGTGTTATTTGTTAACGAATACTTATCTAGCACTTATTTTTTGCCAGGCACTGTTCCAAGTGCTTTACAATTCTTACATTTAATCTTCTTAACAACCCTGTGCGGTAGGTGCTATTATTAGCTCCATTTTATAGATGAGAAAAACTAAATTGAGAATGGTTGTAACACTTGGGTCTCAGTCTTCAGAGGAAAAAGTAATTGCTGAGCGGGCTGGGTCGGGGGTAAGGAGTTTCAGCTTGAGGAGGGGCAGGCAGGAAGGTTTAAAGAACATGAAAAGGGTTGGTAGCCTCAAAGACCAGTAGGTCTGCCAAAAGGACTCAGAACACAATTAGAAAAGGCTCCTAGTTTTCAAAAATGGGGCGATTGAACATGAAAAATAAAAATAACTGTAGTGGATTGAAACACACTAAACATTTAAATTGGAATGCTACACAAAACAATTATTCACTGTTAGAAGATACTAGGGAACCAGCTCATCATTCTGAAGAGAGATAAGTAAAGGGAAAGAACCCAGCATTATTTATTGCTCCTTTCTGAAATAAACTGTACTACCGGGCCTCTTTTATAAAGTATCCCAGGAAATAAAAAAGGAGGGAGCACCATTTTACACCACCTGATTGAGCCAATGGACGTTGACATGGAACGGTGACTGCCAGCAACCGGAGACGAGGCAAGCAGGCGCCGTGGGCCTTCCGGTGGGAGCGCACACAGCACGACGGCAGCCCCGCCAATGGAAAGCAAGACCTTGGATCAGAGTCCTCAGGGTCTAGATCTAACACCCAATTTGTAGGAGATTCAGAGGACAGTCAAATTAAACCACCGGGCCCGGTCTGAGAAACCCACATGTAATATTCACAGATAAAATAATATAATGTCTGAGATTTGCTTCAAAAATAATATAGTTGGATAACTATAACCATATACTGTGTGGGGCGCAGGGTGCAGGAAGGGGTGCGAGGAGGCAGGATCGGCCATGGATGTGGGTGGTTGGGGCCGGATGACGGTTGCAAGGTAGTGACTGTTTTCCTTTGTGCTTGTAATTTTCCATTTAAAAAGCTCTTAAAAGAAAAGGAAAGAGCTGAAACCACTGCTCTGGGAAATTCAATTCACCTAAGCTTATAGAAAATAAATTTAAAAGATCACTAGCTAGCGGTGTGTGTCTTTAGGGATCATGGGAAGAAGCCAGGACCTGACTTTCTTCTGCAAAATCCTGAGTTGGGGGATGATGGGCCGCAGAGGTGACCCTTCTCGGGAGCCTGTCAAAGTGTGATCTGCAGACCACCTCCCTCAGAATCATCTGACACTTGCTAAAAATGCAGATTCCTGGGCTGCACCCTGGGCTGGCGGTAAGGGCCTAGGAGTCTATATTTTAACAAGCTACCAAGTAAGTATGATGCTCAGCAAAGTGTGATAATTTCCCAAGAATGTGGCTAAGGAGTCAAGGAACTTTCACATCAAGAGAAGAGTAGTAAGAATGTTCTGTATGTTTTCCAACCTCTCGTTGGATTGGAGGCCAGGTCTTTAAACCAGAACAAGGGTGAGTCCTGGAGAGAGGGAGGGGCTGGGCTCCTTGAAGATGGCTCCTTAGTGGCGTTATCTTTGTTGCTTCAGTGTCTGGCTGGGAGGAGACGCTCAGAAAGGATTTGCTGAATGAGGGAATGGCTTAGTGAATAAATGGAATGAGTGAATGGATGACTGAGGGGGCGAATTAATAAACGACTGTGAGTCCTGTGCTGGGGACTCAGCCAGAGCTCAGGAAGCAGGACTGAGCCTCGGGGCTAATTTAGAGGAGGAGTGAAGGTGAGGGAATTGTGGACAAAGCCCCGTAGTGGGTGGTGTCTCAGGCCTGAACTCACTCTGGGGCCTGCCTGCTGGTATTTCCCATCACCAAGGAAGGCGTTGTTTCAAGGGATGGCCAGGAACTTCGGTGGAAGGAACCAGCACAGACACTTGTGTCCTCAGAGTGTACTAAAAGCTCCCTTTGCTTCAGGCCCACAGGCGCCTTAATTTGGAGAGGTCTGGAGCCCAGCCCATGCACGGCACCAACTCTTCTCATTTCACAGTGAGTGGAAGCTGGGCACTGTATACCTAAATTTGGAGGTGCAGGCTGTTTTGAACCTTGCTTGCCACTAAAGGAGGCTTCAGAAGAGGTGATTTCAGGGAGATGCTGGAGTAAATGGCATTCTGAAACCTCTGCCTGCCTCCTTTGATCTTGGAAGCTGACCTCACGATGGCTGAGGCGGTTGCTCCAGTATTCTGTGGAAGGAGCCATCCCCATCCCCATCTCCGTGCTGAAAGCCTCGGCTGGATTTCCAGACAGAAGAGGAAGTGGCGCGGTCTACCCCGAGCAGCTTGGCACGCAGAGGAGCTCTGGGATCTATTATCCTCCAGCGTGCAGATTGGATGGGGGAAGAGAACAAAGCGCAGAGCTGGCCAGAAACCACAGAACTGTAATCTTTCCAAATCCTGAAGGCGGCTTGTGTGCATCCCTCTCTGCGTGGCTCCCAAATCTCCGAATCTCAGAGAGGCCAGGAGCGTCTGTTTCCCAGATCACAGCCAAAATGGAAGGGGAAGACAAATCTGTTCTGTTTGGTTTCCATAGATTCGACCCAGAGATTAACTGCCAAGGCCTCAATGACACACACAATATCAATCACGGGCTAAATGTCATAATGAGAGCTGGGCAGGTTGTCAAGAGAGGCCTCCAGATTCCTGTTACAGCTTCATATTTAAAGGTTTGGTCCCAGGAAACCAAATGCCAACTTGACGGCTACTTGGCCTCTGTGCAGCATCAGCCTGCTTCTTCCTCAAAGGATACCGGACTCGGCTCCTTCCTGGAGGGGCCAGCCAGGTTACACAGAGGAGGGAAATGGCTCGGGTGCCAAAGAATGAATCAAATGCGCAAAAGTCTAACAGTGGACCTCAGGCAGGAGACATCAGGGAGTAGTGGGAACTGTGGCACACGGGAGAGCATATGCGCCCCATCCCGTGTGGGAATGCAAGCCCAGATTGTCTGATATTATGAGAATTCAGAAAGGCAGCATTCTGTGAGAAATCTGCCGGTTTTCAAATGTAGGCAGCTGTAGCAGATGCTCTCCTTGTCCTGTCTCAGTCCTTGCCTCAGTATAAATGGACAGCGCCCTTATATACAAAAGGTTTCCTCTCTCAAGGCATGGTATTTCCCTACTTCAGGGTGGCCTTCATTTTCTGGCGTTTGCACTGATCGGGCCTAACATACGGAGGTTATTCCCAGAAGTCATTGGAATGAGGGGCAGAAGTTGGTGGATAACTACCCAGCTTCTTCTTCCCCGGGTAGGACCATTTTGAAATCTGTTCTCCAGTCTCCTGGAGGCTCACTGTGTTCTCCAGCCCCTCCTGCCCAGGGTGGCCACCTGCTCCCTCACACGTCCTTTGCTGGCTCCCAGTCTCGCCTAT